AATGCATAATAAATCAGTAAAACGTCATTTGCTAATTTGTTATTGATCTTAGTTTCTTAGCTTTATATAATGGTTGGGTATAAGATAATAGTCTAGAAATATGTATTAATGCTTCTTTTATCATTTTACAAAATATCATTGCATATTTCCACAATGTCTCTAATTTTTACAATATTTCGCCTCGACATTTCCGACATTTCAAAACATATGTCCTATATTTTGGTAAGCAACATTTCCATCGACATCGACATTTTAAACCTTGAGAATTATGTGGAGGACAGTAAGAGCAGAGAAGGTGTGGGCCATTTGGGAAGAAAGAAATCAAAGAATCTTCAGTGAGAGGAATAAATCTAAGGAGGAGCTGATTGAAGTCGTAACAATTAGGACAGCACATTGAGTAAAGACCACGGACCTCTTCCGTGAGTTCTCAACCAATGGCAATTTAAGGGCTTGGACTGTAGTGGCACAATCAGATAGACTTTTAGAAAAAGTGCAGATGGAATGGAGACCTCCAGCTGGGAATAGTATGAAATTGAACCTCGACGGCAACTTGATAGGCAACCCAGGAAGAGCAGCCATAGGCCTGAGAACATGGGAACAATCGCACCCACCTCATTGGGCCTGAGAACATGGCAAGACTGCCAAGACTTCATCTTGGAGGGAGTCTCCTTCCCCAATTGAGCCTGAGAACATGGCAACAATTGCACCACCTCATTCCTAAAGACCCCTTCAATGCCTTCAATGCTTAAGGGGCCGGGGTTACCTTCACTGCTACAATCAAAATTCAGCTTTATAAAGCTGGGGACTGGAAGAGTCCACACTGGATGAGGAACAACCTTGTTAGGGGCTGAACAAGCAACTTCCTTCCAATTGTTCAACAGAGCTGAAGTGGGAATATCTTCAAATAACTTCAAGGACTTCACCCATTGTATTACCCGTCATAATTACTTCAATAATTGCCTCTCTAGATCTTTCCTTAACAGCAAATGTTCTTGGATTCCTTTTCTCCCAGATTGTCCAGCAACAGCCCTTGTACATCTCCATAAAGCCTTCCCCCTTTTCTTTGTACAGTTACCAGCAGTAGGACGAAAGAGACTTCAAACATCTGGTGGAGGAGTCCACCTGCAGCCAAACAAAGAAAAAAACCATTCCCAAATAGAAGAAACAAAGGCACAGGAAATTAATAAATGGAAGCAGGACTCACCATCAGTTTTACAAAGAACACACCAGTTAGGAGATAAGCACCAAAAAAGCTTCTTCTTTGAAGGAGGTCACTTGTGTTGATCCTTCCCAATAGAAAGTCCCAATCCTAGGTGGAATCGGTTTACCACATACTTCTTTAACTGGAAAGGTTTGCCCAACATTATGAGAAGGCACTATTAAAGCTTTGAAGAATGAAGCACAGGAAAAAATACCAGAGGAAGAAGGAATCCATATTCTTGAGTCCAACTCTGAAGGGTCCAAGCAAACTCCTTGTAAGATATGAAGAAGAGACAGAAGGCTATTTAGGTCTGAATCCCTGGTTCCTCTTCTGAAACCAAAATCCCAATCAATCTCAAGACCCTCAACAAGAGATGAAAGGAATGGGGAAACTGGTTCACTTTTGTAGTCAAACAAGGCAAATAAAGAAGGAAAGCACTCTTTCAAGGGTAATTCTCCCACCCACAGATGCTCCCAGAATTTTACCAAGTTCCCAGAGAAAAGATTATACCCGATAAAAGGAAGGTAGGATAGCATGTATTGACTTCCAAAGAGAAGCACTGGTAGCTCGAGCCAACACTCCGGCATCAAAACCTTCAGTCGTCAGCCCATGAATACTCAAAATCACCTTAGCCCATAACCTATCCTTCTCAACAGGCAGCCTCCACAACCACTTCCCTAAAAGAGTCGTATTTCTTTTTTGAAGATTACCAAATCCTAAGCCCCCATAATTCAAACTCTTAGTTACAGTTTCCATATTGACCCTGTGACGCTGTGATCTTTCCTTTTGAAAACTGGAAGATAATAATAAACTGCACAACCCAAGAGGCTAACCTCCCTCCCAAGGACAGGTAGGTTAGCCAAGGTTGGAAACCCCAACTGGCATTTTGAAAACTGAAAGATAATAATAAACAGGTAGGTAGCCAAGGTTGACTTAATTAGGGTTATCCTCCCACGGACAAGTAGTTTCTTTTCCAAGAGGCTAACCTCTTTGTGACTTTCTCCACCACTGGATTACAGAAATTGGCATTTCTAGGATTGTCTCCCAACGGAAGGCCCAAATAAGTCATAGGCCAATGCGATACTGCACAACCCAAGATAGTTGCACAATCTGACATCTCCCTTTCATCCATATTCACTCCCACTACACAACTCTTATCAAAATTGATTTTCAAATTTGGCATTTGCTCAAAGAGCTGGACCACTAGTTTCAGATTTCTCACCCAACTAAGATCACCACCTTTACAAAATAAGATTGTGTCATCCACAAACTGCAAATGTATAAAAGGTACTCTATCCCTTCCCACTCTCCAACCTCTAACCAATTCCCTAAAATCTGCTTTTTTTTTTATTAATCTCCCCAACATATCAGCTACCAAGATAAAAAGAAAGGGGGATAGAGGGTCACCCTGCCTAATCCATCTAATGGCTGGAAAGTGGGTAAATAGATTCAAGGTTGTCTGAAAAAACAAATTTCCATTTCCATGGGTAGCGACAAGAAATTTTACCGGAATTGACATTTCCCCAATGAACACTACCAACACTATGTGGAGTACAAGATATAGTTTCCACGACATATTTCCATTTCCACTTCCATGGATGGCAACATGAAATTTTACTAGAATCAATATATTCCCAGTGAACACTAGCAGTACTATGTGGAGTTCAAGAGATAGTATTATAACATAAGTTGGTGACAATATTTGTAGATATGTGAAGTAACAATGTTATTGTCAACCTAACTTACATGATTACCACTTGGAGCTAGCTCAATATTCATTTCAAACGTTAAGTTAAATATTAGTTTTTGTT